AAACAAAAGATTCTAAAGATAGTAAACCTTCATCAACTTCTAAAAAAAGTAATCCTACCCCAAAGTTGACGCCTTCGAGTTCTCAAGGAAAGGAGTTTCACCATGATTCTCCATTTAATATTACCTCACCAAAAAGTGACCAATGTTTTCATCAGACTTCTGATGTGACCATTAGCTGGACTACTTCAATTACTAACGGTGCATGCTTTTTTCTTATGATAGGTTTTAATTTTATTCGTTTTTACTTTCACTGAAATAATGGAAAAAAAATTTTTTTTTTTTTTAAATAATATAGAAAAAGTACTAGTCAAAATAATGTCGTATGACAATCCTTCATTTAGTCTTGGTACAAATTCCAAGAATGTTGTTGTAAGTATCATTTTAAGTAATATTTTCAAAAAGATTTATAATCTTGAATACTATCATAACTATTATATGTCATTACAAACGATCTACCAGGATGCGTCGGCCGGGAAACTCACGATAAAAATTAAAAATTGGCCTATAGGATCGTATCTTGCAATGGTTGTATTGGTAAATAATGCTGAATCATATGGAGCTAGTGGACGTTTTTATGTTTGCAATTCAACGATGATACCACCGAAAGAGGATGACGATGAATAGGCATGTAAATTATTAAAGAATATTTTTATTAGAATAAATGTTCTCGTAACAACCTCATATTAGCCAATAGTATTTAGAGTTAGGGTTTGAGTTACACAATTTTTGTTTATTTTTATTGGTTGTACAAATTAAGTTGTTACAAATAAGCGCGTAACAGGTTGCTACAATTAGGTTCATCCATTTTATTATATTTTTATTGGGGAGAAACTCTTTCATGTTTGATTTTAGATTTATTTGTAAATAAAGACTTGTTAAATATCACTTTTAATCTGTTATACTAAAATTACATAACATGTTTATAATATGTATTGTCAATTATAAACATATTAATTGAAATAATTTCCTTTACGAAGATATAGCAGGTAATATTTTACCACTACATTCACCAAATCCAACTTTATATCCTTCTCCTTGACAATGACCAGTTAACACAACTTCATCTCCATCTTCAACAAATAATCGTTTAACTCCATTGCCAAAGTCAATTTCATTTTTTCCGTTCCATGTAATTTCTAATAATGATCCTCTTGCATCTTCAGACTAGTAAAGTATTTATTTATAAAGTAAAATGAATAAAGTAAAATACGTAAAAATAAAAATAGATAATTTAAATAATGGAAAAGTAACTCACTGGGCCACTTATAGTACCAGTACCACATAAATCACCTGTGCGCATGTTGCAGCCACTGATTGTATGGTGGGCAAGTTGTTGCTTAATAGACCAATACATATATTTTAGATTTGAACGGGTCAAAGTCTTAAATGTATCGATATTATTTGCTATAAAATTAAAATTAAAATTAATACAAAATTATCCAATAGTGTCGTTAAATTACTATAAATAACTAATAAAGTTTTGTTTGAATATTACGTTTCATCTTAACTTCAAGGTGAATATCATATGCTGTTTTTCCTTCTTCTTGAAGATATGGAAATGGTGTAGGATCCTATTTTTCATTATAAATATTATTATTACATGTACCATACCATAAGCAAAATTACGTAAAACAGTAAAAAAAAAATAATAATAAAACATATTATAAACCTGATGAGGTCTGTCCACCAAGAAAGGTTCCAAGGCATCAAGTGTGACAATCCATGGTGAAATCGTAGTACCGAAATTTTTACCAAGGAAAGGACCTAAATGACATTGAAATTTAAATTTTAATATGTACAATTGAAAATTGATTTAGATAAAAAAAAAAATATATACACACCTAACGGAACATACTCCCATCCTGTTTATATATTTAATTGTTAAAATAATATATTTAATTGTTAAAATAATATATTTAATTGTTAAAATAATATATTTAATTTATGCATCTACAAAATAAATACATCTAAGATCTTTATTTATAATAACCTTGTATATCTCTGGCTAATTGTAAGAAAAACAAGACTTAGCAATGAAATCGAAATATTAAAAAAAAAATTACAATTTAAATTTAAAATTTTACCACTCCAATCATTCATCAAAACCATGCCAAAAATATGATCTTCTGCTTTTTGGATTGGAATTGGCTCGCCGAGATTGTTGCCAGTACCAACGAAAAATGCCTTTACAAATATGACAAAAAATACGATAAATATGTTATCAAAAAAAAAATATATATATATACATATATTAATGATTGCTACGTATAATATAACGTATAATAAATATATTTGTTACCATTTCTAATTCAATGTCCAATTTTGTAGATGGACCAAAAACTGGAGGTTGGTCTTTTCCTGGTGATCTTTGACCACGAGGACGCAAAATATCTGTTCCAGAGACAACAACTGAAGATGCTCTGCCATGATATCCAACTGGTAAATGGATCCTATATAAAAAAAACATTCAAATTACTTTTATTAGATTCAAAATAGTGATATCTCTAAAATTTATAAATATATTTATAAATATATATATATATATTGCTAACCAGTTTGGATACAATGTACTACTCCCTCTCAAGATAATACCACAATTAGTTGCATGTTCCTTTGAAGCATAAAAATCCGTATAATGTCCAATATTAGCCGGTAAATGCATTTTTGCAAGTTTTTGAGGAACAAATGCTTGATTTCGAAGTTCTTTATTATCTCGTAATTCTGGATTATCTTCGGACAAAATAGCTTGTAGGAATTTTCGCGTAGCTTGCCATACTGGTTTTCCCAATGACATAAACATATTTAATGATGTCTGTATTCAATTTTAATAATAATAATTATGTATCTTTATTAATCATTAATCATCTAATTTATTCCAGAATTTATATTTTTTTTTTTAAAAAAAAAAACAAAATTTATTTAAATTTATTACAGTACCTGAGAAAAAACCAATGCTGGATTACCCAATTCTGGAACATGTTTTTCAAATAATTTGGATAAAACTGTCAAGTCTAAAATTTGGTCGCCTATAGCAACTCCAACGCGAGCAGACGACTATCAAAAAAAAAAAAAAAATATATATATATATAATCGGTGAAAAGAGTAAAAAACAAAATCCCACTTATGAGGTCTGTATCCCACTTATGAAGCCTATATTTGAATTACTTACAATTTTATCCTCTGCAATTGAAAAAATTCCAAATGGTAAATTTTGAATAGGGAAATGTGAATCGGCTGAAACTTCGATAAAAGATTTCATATCTCTTGTTTATTTTTAAACGGTTAAAAGGTGGTTTATCGTTATAATTTATTATTATTTTATCATCAAAGATGAGGCGTTAGATATTTATATTGATACGTATTAAGTATATACTGCTGTACTGTACATCACCATAAATGTTGATCATACTTAATTTATGACGATGCTCTGGTTTTAGTAATGGATTGTCTATCGCTACATATTTCTATTGGACATGTATGCAAGTTTAACTCTGTTATATAGTCAGGAAGATGTAAATTGTTGCAAGAGGATCCAAAATTTCCATTTAGGTCGGTGTTATGATAAACTTTATTTAAAGTTAGTGTGATAATTATTTTTACTATTGTATCGAGACTCGGGGCATATATAATCGAGGTGAATAACCCTCAACGAGGATGAATAACACTAGGAGGATATATCGTCCTGCTTGTTGTATAAGAAATAAAGTAATAACGTACTTTCCAACTAAACTAAATCCGAGTCCCTAGTAAACATTTACTCCGTGTAACTTGTGCTATGCTCGAAGCTAATCTGCATACGTATGCATAACACTGGCATACATCTGGGTCAAAATTATCAGCTGGGTACGTTTGTAGCTTTACTTAATGAGTTGACTGTGACTTCATTGGTAAAACTTTTAAATGATCTGATCATGGACCTCCCTGTATGACAGTATGAGTTGAAAAATGTACAAAATGCTCCGAAAAGGTAATTCTGGTCGAACCCGAACCAAACCCAGTAGAATCATATTTGATACTGCATCTACGTATAAATTTGCTGTATACAGTAACTCTATTATTATAAACTTAAGTAACGATAGCGTTATATTTGTATAATTTTTCCCAGACTGATATTGATATCGAGAGTCTCGGGTTCAGGTTTTTAATTCGGCTACTCGAATTAGTTCGACCCTTTATGAGCACTACCGCTGTATATGTTACGGGCCAAATTGGTTTTTAGGTCAAGTTAAACTTGACCCGGGTCAAATTGATCAATTAAAAAACCCGGCCGGCATCAACATAATTCCGGCCTGCCCTAACCCTAAAATTCTGCTAGGGATCAATTGGACCCGGGTCAAATTTAACTTGACCTAAAAACCAACTTGACCCGTAACATATACGTATGCACGTAATGATCATAATGTGCTTTTTACTTTAAATACATATCAATATACGTGCGTAGTTACAAATTTGAAAGGGCCAATATAAGCTATATTTTGTTAATTACAGGTTTTTATCACCTGGTTGAAAATTAAAAATTTTGTAATAAAAAATATCAGTTTTAACTTCTAAGATTTAAATTTTCACATCACGATATTTTGAACAGCTTCCGTATTAATAGACTTTTGTTATCCTTTTAAGAATCAATCTACGCAAAATTTCGGATGTTGAAATCTATTGTTATTTTGTTTACATTTGTCTTTTTAATCAGTATAGTATTCTCAAATCATGATTTTGTGTTTTTCTTTTATATCTTGAAATCTTATTTAACAAAATGAGTGTTCGAGAGAAAATCAGTAAAAATTTGGACCCTAAAAAATTATGATCGGCATTTTGATAATTTTAGTAATAAATTATTGTATACGTATTACTGAAATTATCAAAATTTTTTAGGGTCCAAATTTTTACTTACTAATTTTCCCTCTCAAGCATTACTCATACGTACCAAGAATTTGATGGAAATTCAGATAATAATAATAATAATAATTTTTTGAACATACCGATACCGATACTATGTTCACATTGAAAAAATAATAATCACAAATAAAGATTTATCAATTAAATAAAAATTATTTATATTTTCAAATGTGACCATAAAATAAAAAAAACTTTGATTTTTTTAAAATTATATTTACCGTGAACATTGTAAACATATAATATAATTTTCAATACTCCAAACTGGAAAATTCATTAAAATTATGATCAATTTTTTTATATGTCTAAACTAAAATCTAACAATTCCCTAAACTCTAGATCGTTTATATTTTTCTTCCTCTATTGCTGAGTTTTGTAAATTTTTCTTACACTTCTTTTTTATTATTGAGACTAAAGGTGTGAGTGCACTGCTATATTACGGCAAAAATGCTTAATCATCGCCAATTACGGTATTGCGCTCACACCTCTAATTGAGACTCATCATTTTGCAAGTTCTAATTTCAATTTTTGTTTACTTTTACTAATGCTAAAACATGCACAAAAGATAAATGAATTATTATTAATCAATATTATAAGCACTAGAATGACATCCGTATTCATATTATTTAAAACTTACCCCAAATACACAATTACCTCCAGTACCAGTATTGTTAATCTTTGCAGTTTATTATTCTACCTTCTTTTTGAGCTTGTAATCCTATACGCATAGTAATTTTTTGCTTCATTTTTGAAAGGTTTGAATGGTTTAATAATTTGTATTCATCGTAAAATAATATTTAGTCAGATTGACCGATAAAATATTTCTAATAGGGGGTTTCAAAGTTAACAAATGAGTGACGCATTTTGAAATTAAATGAAAGTTTGAAAAATCTTATTTGTATTTCAAAAATTTTAAAATCGGAAAATGCGAGTGTCTGGAGATCCCCATTTAACGAAATAATAGAGGCTTTTCAACGACAAAAATCATCATTTCAAATTTATCAGAAAATGAAATAAAGTTGATACATCGCTCATTTGAAAATAAATCTGTAACCAATTTCAATTAAAATTAGATTTCTGCATTTTAACTTTGAAACCCCCTAATCATAAAATTTAAGATGCATTGAAGGTCTGCATTAATAAAATTGTATCGGTGTTGGTAATTACATTTTACTGCAAATTCTTCTATTGTTCTATGAGAAATATACTGCATATCTTTTATTATATACTTGAATAGCGTTTTCTCACATGTTGTAAGATCAGCTCTACATATGCACCTTGTTCTGAAGGAGAAAATGTGAAATGTTGTGGGATTTCTGGAGACAAAGCATGTTGAATTGTGCCTTGTTCGTCTTTTCGAGTTTCCTTCTAGTTTTCTTGATTTTCTTTATCATCTAAATTTCTTCAAATTCGACATCTTTTTTCTCAATGATTTGTCCATCCATCTCTTGCACATCTCACATTTGCGATTCTTTCTCAATTTTGCAATCTGCTAAATCACCAATTATATTTTGAATAATCTTTGAATAAAATCTTGCCTTCTTAAAAATAACAAGTTTTTTGAATTATCCGGTTTCTTCCTCTTCTTCAAAAGAATTAAACCATTTATGTTTTTTACCTTTGTTATTTTTAACAGAACTTTTATTGTCATTTTTTTTGTTCACTAATAGCAACTTCTCTATTTATGGCAGAACAAATCTGAAGTAACAATTCACGAAAAAACGTGTAGGGACAAATATAAATCATGCAGATCGTCTCAAATCTTCTCATGTTTTCCATGATCAAAGTCAAAGAAATGCTGTTTCTGTAGTAGATCTACTGAGAAGCTAAAGGAAAATTTTTTTGTGTTTCGTAGGTGGTTATAAAAAAGTCAAGGAATGCTTTTTGTATTTCGTAGGTGGATGGTTATAAAGAAACCCGGAACATTTTCTGTGTTTTGTAGGTGGTTATAAAAAAGCCAAGGAACATTTTCTATTTTCATAGGTGAACAGTTACCAAGAAACCAAGGAACACTTTCTGTGTTTTATAGGTGGACGGTTACTAAAAACCAAAAAACATTTGTGTTTTGTAGGCGGATGGTTATGGGAACTCGTAGTGAGAAATGAGCTGTATTATGCTTTTTTTACTTACAAGTTGAAGTTGCAAACTATTCTTTGAAGATGAACAGGAAAAACAACTAGCTAAATTAAATGTTTCCTAAAATGTTCTTTAATCCCTTATTTTATGAGGTTTAGATTTATCAAAACATTACGAACTTCTTTTATACAATTTCACGACATAATTTTTCACATTTATACTTTAATCAATAGGACACCATGATCTTAGTTCAATGCATCGATACGAATTTTAAATAGTCGAAATTATTAGGAGATAACATGTAATTCCAAATGATAAATAATCTAATTTATCTAGATTTACATCATTCTTAGTATGATATGTTGGTCTATAAGGTTTGCCATAAGCACACCACCACAATTTATTTTCCTCATTTTCCATATATTCCTAAGATATATTATGACGTAGCGTCAATATCAGATATATAATAATAAATAATGAGTTACCAGGCATGAAATAATCATTAATGCTTATATTACTTGGTTTTGTACAATATCCTACTCCAATCATCCTATTAAAAATAAATAGTGATTATGAAAATTACAACAATAAAGATTTAATACATGATGAAATATTTATTAAACATTATCCATTTTTTTTTCTTCATTTATAAATTCAAGTAAAATAATCCGCACTGTGAAGGAATCAAATTACTAACAATATGACATAAAAGTGTCGCTTTTTCAATTTGTAATCCTCGTCCGGCTTTTTCTTAAAATATTTGCCAATTTTTTGGCATCTTTGAGAAATTTCTTCATTAAAATTTATTGCTAAATTCGGGCCGTATTACATTATCACGTGAAACTATGTATAATAAACAGGGTGATAAACTTTCGAAAAATAAAATTTTGATCAGCAATACTTCTGCTACGTATCACTATGTCAATTAAACCGATTAAAAAACTTTTAATTGCTAATCGTGGAGAAATAGCTTGTAGGATTTTGCAAACATGTAAAAAAATGGGAATAGCCACGGTTGCAGTATATTCTGATATGTAAGCTATTTTCAATATTACATTTTTTTTACAATTTTTTTTCTGTTTAACTTAAAATCTCAATTATAATTTGATGTTTTTTATATGGCTAATAAGTGAACAAAATGCGCCTTTTGTAAAGTTGGCAGATGAAGCAATTCATATAGGACCGCCTTCTGCAGCCGATTCATATCTTAGGGGCGACAAAATTATCGAAGCCGCCAAGCGAGTTGGCGTTGATGCCATCCATCCGGGTATAAATAATATATAAAAGTTTATAGCCGATGGATTTGTTAATTTCTTGATTCAATTATATAAAGTCTTTTTTTTTCAGGATATGGATTTTTGTCCGAAAACGCAGAATTCGCCAGAGAAGTGATCAACTCTGGAATTATATTTATTGGCCCTATGTCAGAATCAATTTTAGCGATTGGAGATAAGGTTGATTTTATTAATTTCAGAGGATTTAAACAAATTTTGTATTGAATTCGTAGATCTTACTACTACTACAATCCTAAAAAAAAAGATTGAAGCTAAAAATTTACTTGCAAAACACTTGCCATCTGTGCATTTGATACCTGGTTATAATGGCGATAGTCAGAATATGGATGTTTTTATTAATGAATCCAGGAAAATCGGTAAATTTATTTTACACTATTAACTTATATATGATAATGCTTTCTAGAATATTGAACGATTGATTAATTTCAATGATCCTCTTAGGATTTCCTGTGATACTAAAGGCAGCTGCAGGTGGAGGTGGAAAGGGTATGCGTATTGTTCATGAGGAATCAAAGTAGATATAACGTCAATGTATGCATATGTTCTTTTATTCTAAATATTAAATGTAAAGTTTAATTCAGATTACAAGAAGCAATAGAACTTGTAAAATCCGAATCTCTCCAATCCTTTGGTTCAAATAGACTTTTAATTGAAAAGTATTTTGAGTCAATTCGTCATGTCGAGGTCAGATTGCAGATAAAAATATCTTTTAATTTCTTATTGAAATTATCTAAAATAGAATTGTTTAATTAGGTACAACTAATTGGGGATAATTACGGAAATGTTTATCATTGTTTTGAGAGAGATTGTTCTGTTCAAAGGCGACATCAGAAAATTATTGAGGTAAACTAAATTAGTACTGTATTATTTTTTTTAATCTTTTATTTGCTGTAAAAGATCTTTAAAAATCTTTTATTAAATCATAGGAAACTCCATCGCCAGTATTGGATCAGGGTTTGAGAAAAAACATGATTGATGCTGCAATTAAAATTGGTAAACTCTTGAAATATACGAGTGCTGGAACTGTCGAATTTATTGTAGTAAGTTACACCCCTTTTCATCATCCTTATTAATTCATATTATTGCTCTGAGTTTTTATTTACAATCATAATAATAACTATCACTATTATTGTCATTATTATTGTTATAATTAATGTTTGAAAATAGGATGTTAAGGAAAATAAATACTATTTTCTTGAAATGAATACACGCTTACAAGTTGAACATCCAATTACCGAGCTTATAACTGGTTTGGACTTGGTTGAACTTCAAATATTGGTTTCTCAAGGTAACATGTTTTAGGCAAATTTATCTTTTGCATCTTCATGAAAGTATTAATAAATCTTTGATTTTACAGGATATAATTTATCACATTCACAATTACCAACATTAAAGTCAAATGTATGTAAAATTATAAAATTTATTGATTATTCCTAATATAAACTTACAAGATGGATATAGGGACATGCCATTGAATGCCGCCTTTATTCCGAAGATCCCTGCAACAATTTTCTTCCGAGCATTGGTAAAATTCTTCATTTCAAACCATCTTTAGCATCAGATGTTAGATATGATACTGGTGTTGAAACAGGTTGATATAATTATATAATATTTGGTTCATTTAAGGTTCTTCATTTCTTCATTCTAATTTATTATTATTCATAAAAAAGGATCTGAAATATCTGTATATTATGATCCTTTAATTGCCAAAATTTCGGTATGGGCGCCAACGCGTTACCAAGCACTTCAAAAAATGAGATCTGCATTACAAAATACTGTTTGTCTTGGTATAATTACAAATCAACAATTTTTATTACAAGTTATGGATGATCCAAACTTCATATCTGGAAAATATGACACTAATTTTATTGAACATCGGTTTTCTCTGTCTAAAAACCAGCATATACAGAGTGAATTAGTAATTATACCATTTTTATGGTTATGGTACATTAGGGAAAAACAAAGAACAACTTTAAAGCATGTTCCTTCTGGATGGAGATATTTAAAATATAAAAACTTTACTGATGAATATATTGTTCATAATGGAAATAATGTTCAAGTTTTGGAACTAGAATATGAGTATCACGCAAAGTTAGATGGCGGGAAGATCGGCAACAGTAACGAGCATATATTTAGTATTTGGATTAAAGGAGATAACAATAAAAGTAAACGTGTCGTGTTAAAGGATGTGGAAATTTATGAAAATGGTTTGTTTTATCCTTTAACCATTTGCAATTTTAATTGAATTTATTATTACTGTAGATTTATTTAATTATTTAATCACCATTAGATATTGTTTGTGGGTCTTTGAGATGCTCTATAGGTTCGTTTTCTTTTTAATAATATATATATAATTATACATTTATACCAATTAACGAGCTATAAATGATTATAGATGGTATACAGAGAATATTTGACATAGCTTCTGGGTCGCAAAACTTACGTACACAAGAAGTGTATGTTCATTGTAAGGAATTGAGAAGACAAATCAAATTTTTGAGGAACAAAAAAAAGTTTTATAATGAGAATGTTGAAGATGATGGTATGACTTATTTAAGATTAATTATTAAACCATTTTAAAAGCATGAGTACTAATTTATTTAAATTTATACATAGTGTCATCATACACAGCGCCAATGCCGTGCAAAATTTTAAAAATTTTAGTTCCACAAAATTCAAAAGTTAGTAAAGATGAAGCTATATTAACTATAGAGTCCATGAAAATTGAAACAAGAATATACTCTAGGCATGATGGAATTGTAAAGATTTTGGTCAAAGAAGGTGATGTTGTGGATGCCGGAACTGTTTTAATTAAAATTGAATGAAATAAGGGATAACAATTGGTTCTGTAGACTTAAATAATTATTATCACCTTTTCATGATTTTACAATGACTGATCTTTAATATACAGAGTAACCTGTCAAAATGAATATTGTCGGCGCATTCGTTATCATTATTATAGATGCCGTAGGATGTGACTAAGGAGTTTTATGAGACTTAGATATTTATTTTTAAACTAATCAAAAAACTATCGATTCAAAGCTACATTTCATTTTTTCTTATTATCGTTAATGCTGAAGTTGGAATCTCAATTTGAAAATATAAACCTTACTAAAATTCACATATTTATTGACTTTTACTAAAACGTACCTATACTTAGATTAGGCCACGCAAAGTTGATTTTTCGTTTTGCATTATCCGCCTACCCATTTTTCAATTTTTGATTTATTTTTGTTTAAAGTCCCAAGTACAAATTATTCTATTTGTCATTTACCGTAATGACGCGTAATAACGCGCATCTGCGCGTTATTTTGAAACCCTGTGCATTATTTCGGGACGCGCATGCGCGGTAATTTGAATCATTTTGACAAATTTGGATTACCCTATTTAGAGGTTGGAACCGGTTTTAATAATTCGGGTTTATCACATGAATTTTGTGATATTTTAGAATTTAATCCAATTA